GGATTTTGAAATTAGTTACTGTCTATCTATTTATTGTGAGTTTGGAATAAGTTAGTGCTAAAAGAGATCCTGGAAAAAGGCATTATGGAAAGAAACCATTTCTAACCCTAATTCTAAAATTAAATTGCTGGAGAAAATGTTCCACTTGGTAAATAATAAAGCATAACTGAAACTTATACAAGGGGTTTTCCCATAATAAATGCAACTATATCTCAAATGTCTGATTTTCTGATACCGTTGGTTTTTTTTTACAGGTAGCTTCCTTAGCTGGACCAGGAGGAAAAGTTGAAATAGAACAAAATTTTCTGAATAACAGATTGAAGACCATAACTGCTTATTTTGGAAATTTAATTAGACAAGATGTGTCCTGACTTATTTATTAGTAAGCTGTTTATTGGGATAAAAGAGATTATCAAATTTTAATGTATCATTCCTTTTATTTACTTTTGTTAATTTTTTATTGCAAAATGTTCCATGTTCTATTGAACTTGAGAAAACAATGGTTTAAAATGTTTGTCACAAATACCAATAAAATGTTTTATAAAAAGACTTAAATATATTTTGATAGTAAAAAGATGAGAATCGACTGAAGTGAGACTCCATATTTCCAATTTTACATTACTTAAGTTAATCTATTTGTTTCTATCCTAATAAACCATTTTAAATTTGGCTATGAAAAGAGAGGAGCCTGCTTTTTCAGCACAGTGGAAGGAAGTTATTTAAGGAACTATTTCATTTCTTACTCCTTTGAAATGTTGCATCAATTGCTTTTCATCATCGTTGGCTGAGATTATGGAGTAATTTTTATCTATATTGTGAATGAAAATTGACTGGGATAAAAAAATTTAACTATATACATCTCACCAACTTCAAAAAGATTAATGAAACATTCATTTACAAATACATTGATAATTCAGTTAGTTGCAGGGTAGGGCTGAGGATTTTATGCAATATCTGCATGACAAAATCGCTCAGATTCGGGAGGGCTTGGATTCTGACAGGGTAAGTGCATGTGGGGTGATGGAGGGGGGTCTTGAGAATGTTATCTGGGAGGAGTCTGACGTGGTGACTCCCGAGGACGTGGACAGGATCCCGGGGAGGCTTAGTGCGGCCACGTGTTTACTGGACCCGTGTCCCTCCTGGTTGGTACTGGCCTCCCGGGAGGTTACACGAGGCTGGCTCCAGGGGATAGTTAACACTTCTTTGAGTGAGGGTTTCTTCCCCTCTGCCTTGAAAGAGGCGGTGGTGAGGCCCCTCCTCAAGAAGCCTTCCCTGGACCCGGTTGTTTTAGCTAATTATCGTCCAGTCTCCAACCTTCGCTTTGTGGCAAGGTTGTTGAGTGTGATGGCGCGACAGCTCTCCCAGCACCTGGATGAAGCTGTCTTATCTAGATCCGTTCCAGTTGGGCTTCAGGCCCGGGTACAGCACGGAAACGGCATTGGTCGCTTTGGTTGATGATCTCTGGAGGGCTCGGGACAGGAGTTGCTCCTCTGTTCTAGCCCTGTTAGACCTCTCAGCGGCTTTTGATACCATCGACCATATCATGCTGCACCGGTTGGAGGGGCTGGCGGTGGGGGGCACCGTGCTGTGGTGGTTCTCCTTTCTCTCCGACCGGTCGCAGTTCATGTTGGCAGGGGGGCAGAGGTCGATCTCGAGGCGCCTTGTTTGTGGGGTGCCGCAGGGGTCAGTCTTCTCACCCCTTCTGTTCAACATTTATGTGAAGCCACTGGGCGAGATCATCCGTGGTTTTGGGGTGAGGTTCCATCAATACGCTGATAACACTCAGCTGTACATCTCCACCCCGGACCACCCCAATGACGCCCTTGACGTGATGTCCCAGTGCCTGGAGCTGTGCGGATCTGGATGGGGAGGAACAGGCTCAGACTCAACCCCTCCAAGACCGAGTGGCTGTGGCTTCCGGTGTCCCGATATAGCCAGCTGACGCCATCGCTGACTATTGGGGTTGAGTCTTTGGTCCCCACGGAGAGGGTCCGCAACGTGGGTGTTCTCCTGGATGCACGGGTGATTGTGGGGGCGACGTGGCGCTTCCATGTAACACCTATCCTGCGTGAGCTGCACTGGCTTCCAGTGGTCTTCCGGGTGCGATTCAAGGTGTTGGTTAACATCTTTGAAGCGGTCCATGGCTTAGGATCTAGATACCTACGAGACCGCCTTCTGCTACCAATAACCTCCCATCGGCCAGTACGCTCCCACAGAGAGGGTCTCCTCCGGGTGCTGTCGGTCAGGCAGTGTCGATTGGCGACCCCCAGGGGAAGAGCCTTCTCTGGGGGGGGCACCTGCTCTCTGGAACGAATTTCTCCCGGAGATTCGGAGGATCCCGGACCTACGCACTTTCTGCTGTGCCCTCAAGACTCTGCTGTTCCAAGAAGCCGGGCTGGCCTAATTCCAATTCTTTTCAACCTTTAATCTTCCATTTTAATTTTTAACTCTTGAGGTTTAAAAATGGGTTTTTAATTAGTTACGGGCCATATTCTTTAATATATATTTTAAATTGTTATTAATTTTTCTATTTGTGTGTTCTTATTCTGGCTGTACACCGCCCTGAGTTCTTCGAGAGAAGGGCGGTATATAAATTCAAATAAATAAATAAAAAATAAAAAAATCAATCAATCAATCTGTAATTGGGACCAGAAACTCCTTTGCTAAGTGATATAACTGTAAAGCAAAAATATGCATAATTTACAACAGAGTTCTGGCTGGGGTCATTAAGTAAATAATACAACGTCATATGACCATGACTTGCAGTTTCCTGCTATCTTCCTTTTTGACTTGTCAGATGCCAACACTGATGACCACAAATGGCAATCACAAGATCATGGATGCTGTGACCATCATAATTATGTGCTGCTTCTCAAGCAGTCAAGTTACTATCTATCATATATGCAGTGCAACAGCTGCAACTTTGAGGACCAATCTCCTTATTCAGCACTATCATAACTGCAAATGATTGCTAAACAAGTGGTCACTGTACAAGGACTGCTTGTCATTTTCACAGTAAACTATGAATGCTAACAGCATTGTGGATAAAGAGTAGAAATCATTTTTTTTCAGGATGGTCACAACGTTTAGAAAAGTACGTATCTTTTCAAAGCAAATACTAAAGGAGAAGTATTTAAGCAATAAGTACTGAGCATCTATGGTAGTTACGGAATAACTTGAAAAAAAGTTGAAAAAGAAATGGAATAGAAAAAAAGAAAAAATCACTTTGCTTAAGGAAAATTCTTGACCAGAACAGGTACATTCCTAGACAAAAGGATATATTGAAACAGTTCTTAACTGTATGAAATTGATCCAATTACAGACAGGTATATAGTTTTGTGGCTCTTATTTCCTTTAATATAGGTCAAATGAACAAAACTGCATCCAGGGCTTATTAGTAGCATCAATATTAGGAAAGGATAAACAACTGTGTGACATAACATCACTGACTCTCATAAGAACAAAGCAGTGTTATGATGGCTAATAGTTTGTCCTCCTTGTAGGAACACTTTAGTGGTGGCCTAATAATAGTTATCATTCTAAATTAATGAGTATTCAATTCCTTTGTTTTATTAAATGCTGGATATAATTTACAACTGAATGTGCTGTGTTTTTTTTCTAGTGCTCTGCCTTGATGTATTTGGGTTTCATTGAACTCTTGCCTTATTATCAGCAGCAGGTAAAGGATCTGACATATTGCTGTCAACTAATGGTATAAATATCACTATTTTCAGATGAAACATGATTCTGCCTCAATCATTTTTTCTCAACTGAAATACTGAGACAAAATTAAAGAAGAAATCAGTTTGTAAATAATAAAGTCATTTGTTCTGACCTGGCTCCCAAACACGACATGTCCTCTGTCTTTACTGTATATTTTGCTCCATAAGAGGAAAACAAGAAAACAAAAAATCTGCCTCTGCCTCCTAGCCCAGCATGTGGCACATCAGGTCTCCACTCCATTGCGCCCACCACAGTCAGCTGACCAACAGCTGGGTCGTCCTCTAGCCCAGCCAATCAACAGGCTGGCCAACCAGAAACAGTGCTATTGCTGCCTCATCTGTGTCTACTGCCTCCGCCTGGGAACGCTGGAGCTTTCACCAGCGTTCCCCGGCTATTGCTGCCACCGTTCACTGCCACCAGTCGCCCCTCCCTCTCTCTCTCTCATTTCCAGACTGGATTGAGAAGTGCAGGCTATCAATGCCTGACCTCCAGGGAAATGAATAGTTGTCTGCCACACCAATTAATCTCTGTCCCCTGCCTTTTATCCCCAGAGCTAGGGTGGAGCTTCACTAGCAGTGGTGGCTCTTCTGTCCCAAGAACCAGCCCATAGATTCCCACTGCTCTCCTCTGCCTTCTGCGCATCCGTGTCTCAGGCACTGGACCCAGCTGTTCCTCCTCTTCCTCATCAGCCACCTCCCTCTGGGGTCTGTTGACTCTCCATCTAAGGGCTGATGGACGGCCCAGACTCTGCCTCTGTCTCTATATCTGACAGCTTTATTCCCTCTTCCATCTATTCCCTCGAAGCTCTCAGATTGCCTTGATGCTGGCCCTGACTCCCACACTGCTGCCTCATCTGATTTGGCTGCTGGAGGGGCCGGCGGCTGACAGGCCACAACACCATTATTTAACTTGTGCCGTGATCATGCTATTTAACTGCAACTATATTTCAACAAGAAATGAGAGATACAATTAATTCTATGAAAAGACTAATCGGAATGCTTAACTAAACGTGTAGTATGAGACATGGAGTTCTTTTTCCCTTCAACTAGGCTTAGATATTTGACTTTGAAAGCTAATAAAAGTACTGCTCTTTTTTAAGCCTATTTCCTTTTTCCATATGCAAAACTAACTGCATCTAGTCTATAAACAATAACCATCCTGCACATCATCCAGTTTTATCAAATTTTCTAGAATAGCTTATGGCCCTTTATTTCCTTCCAATACGAATACTAACTAGGCATTATCCTCCTTAATATCTTAGTCTAAATGTTACTCACCTTTTGCTGTCTTGTTAACTGCCAGTATTTTCAGATGAAATGCATCACTGACTTCCTACCAAGGGCTATAAGAGAACAGAAGTGTGGCTTTCTTCAGCACACCGAAATAAAAAATAACTTCCGTGTTAAACTATTTTCCTTATGGATCTTGAATTTGCAGTCAGAAAGTTTAAATAGACATAGTGAAAGTAGGTAGGTTGTGACAAACATTAAAAGAAACAATAAGTTTCTAAGTTGAATTTATTTTGAGTTTTAAGACAAAATCATTATAACATCTCTCATCTTTTTTTTTTTTTTAGGTCCCTAGGTGCACCCAAACTTCTTGTTCCCATGTTTTTTCTTTTATGTCAGGAAGGGGGGAGAACATGTAAAGTTTTAGATAGTAAAATGGTTGCTTTAGAAGCATGTGGTGCCTCAAGCTCCCCGCCCCCCACCACCCGTTATTGAGCACACCAACCCACAGCCCAGGTGCTGAGTCTGTTGCATCTTGTTGAGAAAGACTAGTGAGGAAAAGAAGTCTACTACAGGAGGATTGACTGAAACAAGGTTCCTAGGCAGAGCTGTTTTGAAGCAGTAACTTTTGAAGGAATTGATCTTTCTTTGCTGTGGCTTCACTTCCCATTTTCAGCAGGGCACAGAGAGAAAGCATTAGAGGGGAACTGGCTTCTATGTGGCTTCCAAGTAACCAAGTAACTTGGCGACTGGATCCTAGGAAGTTTCTCCCATTTCTGCTTTAGCCATTTCATGTCTGTGTATTCCTTGTTTCCTAAAATTATTTGTGGATGTAACTTCACAATGATTATAGGGCTAGTTATGTTTTTTACTTGACTGCAAGTTAGAAAATCTGGTGTTCCCTCTATGGTGGTGACTGTGTTTTGCTTTCAGAATACTGTTAAAGCAGTTTCATAACATGAGTGTAAAAAAATTGGCAAGTGGTGTTTTATTGAGCATTTCATTTTATGTAGAAGCCTTTTGTTTTGATGTGCCAGCTTTTGTGTTTTGCTTCTTCATTTTTGTGTGTCCTTTTTCCTCTATAAATTTAGAAAAATAGAATTTGGAAGAAAAAATGCTATAATCATTAAAATGTGTTTACTTTCTATCAAAAGCTCATGTATATATAGTATAATTAGTTTATAGCTGTTTTAAAAGAATCCTAAAGCAGCAACACTGATAAAAGTGGCAACTAACTTCCAGGCCTATCAGGTTCACAGAACATGAGGATTAGAAGCAGAAAGAAGTAACAACAAGGAAATGGAAAAATTAAGAAAAAGCAGGATTCAGTCTTCTGCCATTATTCATGTCATAGTAGACTTCATGTAATGTTAGCTGTATAGTTATATTCAGAAGAAAAGAATAAAGCATATTTCCTCTTGAACTAAACAGAAGGTCAGGAATTGCTGACTTTTAAAACAAAGAAGCAGGATGATATAAATTAAACTGTAAGAAAATCCATACTTGATCATTAAAATTTTTAATGCAATTAAATATTGCAGAAGTCCCAGCTAACTCAATTAACTCATCCTGTCAGTTACTAAAACTTCAATTCAGAATGGTGTGGCAGAATACAACAAATTGTCCTTGAAAATATTGTATTCAAATTAAGATTATCTTTTATTAAATACCTGAAAGCTTTTCAGTTTACTTAGTGAGTTAGCTTCAAATATTTTTGTTCCTATAATACTTGCTTTCTTTTATGTTTTTATCTTTTAACGCTATCTAGTAAGTCATTATTATTCTTTACTTATTTCCTTATGATAAACCTCACCTCAAGTAACCACTCTGGGATATTTGTTTATGAGAAATTGCTTGTTTCTTGGTACCAGTGCACAAGTGAGAAAAATAAGTGTACTTCCTTGAGGTAAAACAATCAGTCGGATTTAAAATGCATGAAATAACCTGCTTAAAAATTAGTTAACATACATTTCTGATGCAATTACTTTTCAAAAACAGTTTGCACTTGGTGGTATCCTGTAGTATTCCCCGCACCTCCTGTTTAGGTAATTAGAAAATATGCTGAAAACGTCAGAAGAATGTTGTACCTTGGCTGACACTCATTATTTTTGTCAGTGGGGGATGGTCTCTCTTCCTTTAGCCAACTACTTTCAACAAGTTGAGAGGCTGAGGACAGTGGATTATTTTAAGATCTCCTTTTCTTATAGCATCCTATATCAGCACTTTTTTTTTGGCCACTGACATCTATAGACTTGAATGAAAAATATCGATCATTTCAAATAAAGGATTATTTAGATAGTGCTTTTTCCATGGCTGGGCCTGGAGGAATTGTCTTCATTCCATCCCCCAACCACACGGTCATACAACATAGCATTTTGAATATGAGATATGAATTAGAAGTAACAGTTTATTTTAAAATCAATTAGAAACTTACATGATACTTTGTCCTGTGAATATAGCCCTTCGATGCTATATTCACTCTTGAGATTTCAGAAAGGAATTGCTCCCAATTCTAAATGGAGACATGAAAGTGTCAGCTTTTAATTACATATCAAAGATGCAAAGACAATTTTCTTTCTCTCAATGATGGTTCAATATTGATTTCTAGCAGCAGAGCATATGTACAATTCAATTTACTATATGCTAGTTTAAATACAGTACATTTTTCTGTAATTAATTTATCAGTTTTATGAGTAAAGTGAGGGCCATTCAGGGGGGAAATTAGTTTTCTATGAATGTAAATAAAGGATAGACCATCGAAATTTTAGCCTTCCTGTAGAATTGATTTCAACTGATTGAATTGTGGTTGCTACAACCACACTGTCCACCAACTGCAAATACAGGTAGTACTTGGTTAGCAACCACAATTTGGATCTTTTGCTTCTTTACTATACCCTGCTTTTTGTACCATTTTTTTCAGATGAAAAGCTCGCACACTTTTGTGTCATTTTATCTTACTTCTCAGCTACTCTAGCTATCAGAACTAGAAATACAAAGTCCCTGACAATTAGATAGCCCTAGACTTTGCTACTGTCTAATAGTCATCCAAGTTTTTTGCCAGTCAAAGTCTGATAGACCTACCTATGATTTATGAATGCACATTACACTAAACATACAGAATAAAAACAACATTTCTAGCAAGTGAAATTGAAAAGAGACTTTCATTTTCCTAATCATTTAGCTATACCTTCACCTATAAGCCATTTAAAACTAGTCTATGTCACTCTGGGAAAGCCCAGCATTACACATACATAGATTTTAGATCACTGTTCCATAATCCAGTACAATGGTGGGTTCATACTTTATGTTAAGCTTTGACATGATTGTTCAGTTTAATGCAATGTCTGAATCCAAAAGATAATTGGGTTGACAGATAATAGGACCTAATGATGGTTTGCCATGGCCTGGGAAAGATGTATAATTTTTGCAGTCGGTGATCTACTCTCTGACCAGTAACCTTCTCTAACATAGAATTCAACATTGGCACACACTACCATAGCTAACAATCTATGTATAGGACCAGTGACCCCTAGTATTTATTCTTATGAAACAAAATTTGATCTCTGAGTTTCCATAGTTATCTGAATTAATGATGGAATTAAGCCAAGTTCTTTTATATCAGTTCAACTGGCACTGCATAAATGAAACATAAAAACTAAAACAAAGATATACAAATATGTAACAAATATCAATAAGGATTTAAAAGTTTACTCTGTTTTACAGTGTATGCATGTCAACAATGGAATGTTGAATCACTTAGAGAGATCTTTGTAGCACTTGCTGGTCCATGTATGCTCTTTGTCTATGCTATTGCAGCCCAAGGTCCATAGTGAAGTCACTTCAAATGGCAAATAAGTCCTTTCCAGGAAGACAACAAAACACACATAGAAGCAGCACTTCAAACAGCAATAAGCATCCCACAGAAATGGAGAGTCAATATGTATAATATAATTTAAGCTTAATAAGTGAAGCTTGACTAACAGGTATCTGCTTACAAACAGCTCCTTAAAGCCATAATATCCTTATGATAGATACATTATTTTCAATTCAGGTGAAGATCTTTATTTTTGTAAAGGCTTGGAACATATAGCAAAAGCACTAGCACGTAGAATTATATACAGCTTCACTGTGCTTTACAGCTTCTCTAAACTGTTTACAGAGTCAGCATATATTGCAAGTTATGATCTGACTGCATAACATAAGATCAATGTGCCCTAATTGTTGTTTGGATTTCATACCCATAGTTCTATAACTTGGAAAGCTTTGAGCAGTTGAGGGAGAATGTATTTTATACCTTTTTTAATATAAAGTCTCCATGCTTCCATTGAAAGGGGAGTATTACCGGTATATATGAAATCAGATGGGAATTACTTTAAGCATGCATAGAGTGATTAGCTTAAAATACAAGGCTGAAATCCTATTTTCAATTCAATGGCACTTGTGCTGAGTAAATATAACCAGGGTAATATTTTAGAGCCAGATGATTTTCTTCAGCATTTATGACAAGCTTTAATAATGCAAAGGACAGCAGGTGGTTCATTCCACCCATACAGTACTTAATTGGCTAGAAATATTTTTAAGCAGCTCAACATGAATCCTGCTGTCTATATAATATACACATCCAATTATTAACAATCTTGGACATGGAACTTCATGTTCATTTGTTTTGTTTTGTTTTAAAATTATCTCTATAGATAGCATAAAAGCAATGTGGAATAAAAATATATTTAAAAATATATTGCTTGCAATAATACATATAAAATGTACATAATATAACCAGTTTAATATACAGGTAGCCCTCAACATATATATAACTATGATCTACCGGTTTTTAATCAGGTCATCATGTGCCTGCACCTGATTTTACAATCTCTATTGAGAACATGGAAGTCATAAAGTGAGCACAATGATTATTAAGTGAATCCACTGTCTGCAATGGACATTTTATTTTGCTAGAAGTTGGAAAGAGGTGCTGTTTCACATTTTTAAAAATGTCACAAATTGTGGTGAAATGACTGCAAGATGATGCAAACGGCTGTAAATGTGATAATTGCCCAAAATGTGATAATATGACTGCATGAAGAGGGCGATCAGATCTTTTAATCCAGGTCATAAATACCCTTGGAAGTCTGTCATAACCTTGACCAGTTAAGGTAAGTTAAGAACTACCTGTAGGTACTTAAAGAAGATGGAAAATTACAGTTTACATCTATATGACACATTTTAATTGGAATGGCTTGTCTCATTGGCAATACCAAAAACTGAGCAAATCTGTTCAAGTTTTTATTGCTTCATTTTTTGGATAGTTCATGCCAAGATTAGGTAAATTTCTACCCTCTGTACTGGGGAACAGGGCAACAAATGATGATCTAAACTAGTACATATAATAACCACTATGCCAAGATTCAACTTCATATATTCCAAAATTAGACAAGATAGCAGTTTATTAGTTTGCTTAAGATCAAAATTCACCTGGAAATTCTGGGTGCTACAATGCGAAAATAACTGAATAGAGTTTAAGAAAGCCAATTCAGCATTATTCAATAAGCAATCTGAAGAAAGCTAGCTAAATTGCCAAGATGGATAAGATAAAAGTTACAATTCATACACTGATTGCATTCACACAGTTTGCTAAACTGTAGTTGGCCCAATAAGCTACAATTGTTAGCGGTTAAACCAGGGGTGAAATCCAGCAGGTTCTGACAGGTTCTGGAGAACTAATAGTGTAAATTTTGAGCAGTTTGGAGAACCGGCAAATACCTCTGGCTAGCCCCAGAGTGGGGTGAGATTTTGCAATATCCTTCCCCCAGGATTGGGGACAAAATGGGGATTTTGCAGTATCCTTTCTCTGCCACACCCACCAAGCCACATCACACCCACCAAGCCACGCTCACAGAACCGGTAGTAAAAAAATTTGGATTTTACCACTGGGTCAAACATTGTATTACCTATTTAAAAATCACAATGGTTAACATGGAGCTTAGAGATAGAGACCAATTAGAGTATTACAAAAATTGGAATATGTGGTATCAATGGCTTGAAATGAGAAGTAAAATTGATGCATAAAGATGATATAGAAAGTATGTTACATTAAAAATGATATTTATAATATAAAACTTGTTAAAGGATATATATATATATATATATATATATATATATATATATATATATATATATAATATAAAATTGATGTTAATGAAGAACAAAAATAGATTATAGTAAAGGATATTATATATTTAAAGGTGTACAAATGTATAAAATAGGCCATAAATTGGAATTATGAAACTTGAAGTGTTACCGATAGTTGAAAGCTGTAAAAATGGAAATGTGCTTTTAAAATTTAAAAAGGTTGAATAAAGACTATTTTTTTAAAAAAACCACAATGGTTAGATTCACACAACATGCAATGATGAAAACTAACCATGTTACATCTTTGAAAGCAGCATCCTTGATACACTTCCAAGGAGCACATAACTGACAGCCATTCTCCGATTATCTTTTCTATGAATACCCCTTTGGAGATATACATAAATTATCATAGCCCCAAATACTATAAAGCTCTCTTAATCCATTTTAATTAACACCAGGCTAGGGCCATCATGGCCTTTCATAGTAAAATGCTACTTTTTTGTGTTTGCCCTGAAATGATGACCATCAATAGCCCATTTACTCTATACCAGGCTAAAAACTAGGATACCATGAATTCTAATCCTACCTTAGGTATGAAAGCCAGCTGGGTGACTTTTTGAGCTAGTCACATTCAGCCAACTCACCCCAGAGATTTGTTTTTGTGCGGAATTTAGGAGGAGTAAGGAGTAAGGGCTTGTTTGCTGCATGAGTTATTTATGAAAAATAAAGGTGAGATAAAGTGATTGCAAAAATGTAATACTATCAAATAAAACCCTATTAGCAAGAGGCCTTTCTCAGACTGAATAATATACTGTACTTTTTTGTCTTTATTTCAGCATCTAATGGCATTTGTCTTTCTTGTAAGACTAATTTTAGGTTTCCTCTTTTAAAAGGCAATTGGTGAGAAGACAGAGGAGTACATGAAGAAAAAAAAACTTTTTCCCCACCTGCAGATCTGGTTGACAAACTCCCATGTTCGTGTGCTGGCATAGTTGTATACGCAAGTATGTAGATAGGTACATATAAATTAAGCACAGATGCGGTGTAACCAGTGGTGAAATTCAATTTTTTTTACTACCGGTTCTGTGGGCGTGGCTTCATGGGCGTGGCAAAATCTCCATTCCCATTCCACTCTGGGGCCAGCCAGAGGTGGTATTTGCCAGTTCTCCCAACTACTCAAAATTTCTGCTACCGGTTCTCCAGAACCTGTTGGATTTCACCCCTGGGTGTAACCAAAGAGTTTTTAATGATTGAATTACAAACGTGCTTCATGGTTACCTTCACAAAAGCAACAAGAAAAGTTAACTCTTTACTGACTGGCCAATATATAGTTTAGAGTTCATACAGTTGAACTAAAATGAATGTTTAGCCCACTGAAATACCTGCGG